ATAATTGTTTAAAAACTCAACTATTCTTCATTCATCATCTTGTGCGGCCTAGGGTGTCTAGAACTCTTGTTTAAGATGTACGAATAGTATCGATACATACTTACTATAAAGACGTGCTTATCTCACGGATAATCCTACTATTCTTCGAAACCCCCTAAGCAGACCAAGATGGCAAATCTCTTATTTAAGAATTACTGATAACCTTCGAAACCTACACATATTTTTATAATGGCAATAGACGTGGCAAATAAACTTGGTCACTTTAGCCGAATTCACTTAATGCAGGCTGAGTGTCAATGCTAGTAGCCAATCACGAGAGTATTTCTCTCATTCTGTTTAATTCCCTTGGCATGTGTTCATGCTATTCAATTCGCCTTACGCCACGCTCGTATCCTTGTCGTTATCAAAACACTTATAAACTCTCACACCTTTGTCCTAGCCTCCGCATGAACCCATTATCAAAATGGGGCAGCATCCCGAACAGAGGCCGATAAGCAAGGTCTGAAAGCGTATTAAAAGTGAAATTAAGAGTTTCCTTTTCTGGAGCTTTATTTTCCTTATACCATCTTCTTCTTTCAGCCTAGCTATCAAGTCTTTGATTTTTGTCCCTCGACGCACCAATAGCCATGCATGAAGTCCGGCTCTTTATCAAAAGGCCTTTTTCGACGTACAGCCGCAACCTTAGTTATAGTAAGTCCAAGAGCTCACTTCTTCATGCTAAATTGCTGTGGAAGAAGGCCAAGCATAAAAGACAGACTCACTTTCAAAGCAGAGGCATATATGTCATGCATTTGTCTCTTTCTTTCTTTTCCTATTTTTACTGTAATTGTCTTTCTTTTTGTGTATATAAGATTCCCATATGACAAATCTCCGTAACCCTTAGATTTTTATTCTAGTTTATTTGAGAATGGTAATCTCATCAGTTCTAGGAGACAATCTTATGAGACCATTCTCCTAGACGCATATCCCATTGATAAGTATATAGGTACAACCATTTAACTAACCTTAAAAGTGACAAGATAATACAATGAAGTTAATCCACTCTATATAACCCTGTGTTTACAATCCTCACTTGAGGGAGTTGCAGCATGCTTGTAAAAACAAACTCAAAAAAAATATGCTAAACAAACTAAATGCTCACAGCGCTGACAGGAGCTTTGTTGAGACGTTTGGGTCCAGTTCTCTCAAGATCATTGCAGAAGGGATCAGTAGGTTCAGAAACAGGCAATTTTCTTTTCCAAAAGTTGGTATTAAGTGGAATTTGTGGAGGAGCTACTATGTCGCTTAGACACGCGCTAATGGGAACTTTGGAGGATGGCTTTTGCAGAAGATTGATCACCCCATCACAGTGTCGGAAGCAAATCACTTCCAGAACGGAGTAGAGATCTAAATGGCGGGCCTTTATTCCATATTTCGCAATCCACTCCCGAGAAGAGAGATATTCATCTCTGCGCTCCAAAAACTTGCACCAAGTTGAGGCACAGGATAACGATTGATGCTCTGGATGATGTGACTCAGGAATGATGCTATGGCCTTCTGATTTGTCGTCCTTCAAGTGTTGTAGAGCAATTTTTTTAGAGGAATCCCTAACTAAATAAACAATTTGAAAAGATAAGCATATTTTAAAATGGAAACAAATTGAAGGGTATTGTAAACACTTTTTAAAGATGTATAAATTGCAATTGCCATCAGTCAATAATAAAAATTAAGGTAGGGATTCCAATATGGAAATTTAAAATAAATGCGAAATCGTCAGCAGGTTTGGGCTCCTCAAGGTATTTATATTAGACTTAGCCTCGCCTCCATAAAAATTGCAGTTCTATCCTCTCATAGTCCCATCTATCCTCCCAGTAGCAGTTCAACCTGGATAGTAAGACGTGAGAATCACGATTTCGAAAGCTGCACTTGGTAAGACCATTGCCCAGATTCTTTAATATGTTAGGGAGCCACTCATGTGAGTAAATCGTCTAGTGTAATGGATACGGTGGTCGAGATA